CAAAGGGACTATAGTTAGTAGGCGATGATGGTCAGAGGGATCATAGTTAGTAGGCGACAATGGTTAAAGGGACCATTGTTTGAAAGGTTTGGTGGTTAGAGGGGCCGGATTTGATGGGAAATAATAACTATAGTCAAAAAATGATAGTGGAGGAACCATAATCAATGGGTACTAGAGGTCCGAGGGTCTATAATTGGTGGGCAATAGAGGTTAGATGGACCATACTCTATGGGCCACAAAGGTTAGAGGGACCATAATCAGTGGGAGATGGAGGTTAGAGGGACTGTAGTCGATGGGAGATAAAGTTCATAGGGATCTTAGTCAATGGGGATAGTGGTTGAAGCGACTGTACTTGGTAGGTAGAGGAGGCTAGAGAGATCCTAGTTGGCGGGAAATGGAGGTTGGACCATAGTTAACATGCGACGGTGGTCCCAGGGGCCTCTATTAGAGTTACCGTAGGCGACATGAAATGATGGACCTCTTTTGAGTCTCTAGCCTATTGTCTAAGACTCTCAAAGTCTAAACACCCTCTAATATGAGAAGAGGGGGTTATTTATATATTTTCAGACTGACATATAACACCTTCAGGTTCAACATTTGGTTCAAATGGTTAAGACCGGATTGAAAAAAAGTAAGTTTTGAATTTTTAATTTTTGAACCCATTTGAATGTCTTTGGCAGTATTTTTATGCATGAAAATAATTGTCTGTGTTCTAAAATGAGTCCTTAGGGGCTGAAGTAAATTTCAATAAAATTTGAGAATAGTTACAAATTGAGCACTAATAATGGCGATTGTGGAGTACACTTTTGAATTACATAAAAAATTTGGACTATAGTATCCCTAAATAATGTTAAGATTTTCTTTGAAAATATAATAAAACCCCACTTAATATATGCAATTTTATGTTTTGAATAAAATAGTAAAGTGATAGTTAGAGTGCCAAACCCATGAGGAAGAATACTTACTTGCAACAAACTACAACCATTTACTCTGATTATAATAATCATCCTACTGAAATAGAATTGATACTTAAAGAGATTCTATCACTAAATAAAATAGTAAAAATATTGGATATAATATTTAATATATGTATTTTGGATTAAAGAGTGTAGGTTTCATATCTTTCTTAATGAGATTCTTAATTATCGATATACTTCAGCATATATACATCCCTAGATCTTTGTCGAGTTTGTAGGCTAAAAGAATATATGCTGACCTCCTACAGTTATAGTATCCCTAAAAAACCTAAAAAATTTTACAACCTATGTATATAAATGTAAACATCCTATCTCAATATTCATGGTTGCTTTTGTACTTCTCCATCGAGGTTATACATCACACTTTATTTTAACTACACCTATGGACACTATATACATTAAATGAAGAACAAGATGATATTAAAAATATCATTTAACATTTATAGAATAAGAGTCTTCATTATTACTTAACATGTACTTTACATCATCAATCCAAAATAAGAGAATTAGTAAGATAGAATAAATGACAAGCAAACTTATTTTCATTAAACCCATGGAAGAATGAAAATAAAATAGAGTGATATCATCAGAAAAAATCAAAGTATATCCTCTATACTCCGTCTCCCTTAAATATAGAGTTGCTTCAGGAAACATAGGATAAACACTCCAAATGATTGTATATTATACTTCTCTAGCCTCCCTTAGATTTTACTCTAAGGGGAAACTAGAGAGGTATTCTAAAAAAAGTTCTAAATTTTACTCGAGTGATTGAACTTCCTTACAAACATAACATCTTAACTATTTATAGGATAACATAAAATTGCATTTGACATTATGATGCTTGAAAGAGTTGTGCCACGACACCGTTGAAGTGAGCTAATGCCTCGGTGCTAAAACTTTTGCACTGCCAAGGTGCTTGCTAACGTGGATTAGTTACTAAGTGAACAGTCATGTCTCTTCACCGAGAGAATGTGGCCCTTAGAAGTTACAATTACAATGTCATGATGCTGTTGACATTGCACAACAACATTTGAAAATAGAGAATCTGGCACTACCATGTAGACTTTTTAATGCCGCGACACTAATAATACCATAATGCTGACTATTTTGCCACCACAATGCTTGTAAAAAGAGAATATAGCAAAACAATGTTTAATTTGTGGATCCTTAATAGTATTGAAGGTAGATCTGCTGTGTTTCTTCGTCGGACACAGTAGCATTATAAGCTCCTTAGAAATTTTACCATTTTTTGATTTTTTTTCTATATAAAAATAATTAAAATAATATATATTTTCTAAGAAAAAAATATATAAAATATATTATCAAGCACCCCAATGTTTGGTACCTATCATTTTTTCTACATAATTTACACTTATCAAGCACCCCATTGTTTGGGGTCTACAAGTCTTGACGTTGTTATAGTACTAGGTGCCAAATAATGACATTGCAATGCTCCAAGCTCTAAACTTTAAGATTTTTAATTAGTATCTCAGTGCTATGTGATAATGCTATAGAGCTAAGCCGTTAACCCATTAAATATATTTTAAAAGCACTATTCTATTGCATTTGATTGAGTAGCCAGCCGAGCAGGAGAGAGAAAGAGAGATGTTTGGAGAGGAAAAAGTGCATTTTGAGCCATTTTAGGTCATTTTTAGCAGTCGCGCCTGTTGGGAAAATTGTCCAGATCGAGATAGGTCATATTATGTCTATCTCAATTTTTAAAAAATATAAAGTTTTTTCACATTTTTGATTAAATTTATATTTTTTGTTACCTAAAAATACAATTTAAAGGATTCATGTCATTATTGTTCGACATGTTTTACGCTGGCTGTCGACTACCTAACGCAACCCTCCACTTTTCTCATCCAGGACTTGGGACCTGGCAAGAGAGAGTCGCCTTAGATGGTTTGGTCACGGCCTTTCGATGACCCGGTTAGGAGAGTAGAGGTATTAGATTTGACTTATGTTAAGAAAGGTAGGGGTAGACCTAAAAAGACTTGGTTAGAAAATATTAGGAATGACCTTTCTTTATTAGGTTTAAATGAGAATTTGACTTTTAATAGAACACAATGGAGAAAAAGGATTCATGTAGCCGACCCCACGTAGTGGGATAAAGGCTTGATGTTGTTGTTGTTGTTGTTGTTGTAAAAATGCAAATATCTTTGCATTAAAAAAACTTTATTCCGTAGCTTTTTATAATTTATAAAGAATGAGATTATGAATGTTTTGAGTATTTTTAAAAATTTTACATAATATATTTTAAAATTTATATAATTTTAATTAAACAAAAATAATTTGGACATTAAAAAATAATGTCGTAGCATAATTAAATTTTTGATACGATGTTTTACACAACCCCTAATAATTTGGTGAACTTTTAAAATTATGAAATTTTAGCCTGTAAAAATTTTTGTTGCTTTCCATTATAAAAAATTATATAATTCTTACACATGCTCAATTATATTTTAATTATTATAACGTAATAAAATATGCTCATATGTAACTAAATTTTGACTGTTGGGAGATATAATAGCCAAAATCATTTGAGATTTTGTCTGTATTAGGGAATATTTTGGTGCATGTAAAGCCTATTCTAGTGGATTTAAAATCATTTTCTAGTGGCTATAAGTTATATTATGATGCCTACAAACATATTATAGTGCTATAAGTACAAAAGAGAGTCATAAAGGGGTTAGAATATATTGAGAGTTTGTCCAGGGTAGGGATATATAATATAAACTGCTTTGTGATATGAACTACTCTATGATATAAATTTTAGTTTATTTTTCTACTTAATATTATTATTTAAATATTAGATATGTGATATGCTCTTATTATTTTTCTCAGTACAGTGATTTATTAGATTATATTTAACTGCTTTTAAATATCTAGTAAATTATTTAATGAAATAATTTAAATTTTAAACCATTTTATGTGGTTTGCAACAAAAATATCTTAGTTTATAGGATCTAGGAAAGGGAATATGAACTTCTTTATTAGCAGATCAAGATCATATCTTAGTTTATAGATATTTTCTATTTTAATTTTTGTACAGTTATGACTAGTTTATTGTTTAGTTGTGTAGCTTTTATTTCTATCCATATATTGTAGTTTATATATTTTGATAAAATAAAAGAAATCTTATGGATGAGTTTAGTTTTAGTACTTAGAAATTTTAGCAGGTTTGTAGGCTATTATTTATTTTAAATGAATATTAGAAGAGAATTTGAAATATTTTAAAGCTAGATTTTGAGATTTACTTGTCATAGCTTAACATGATATGGCCTATTGTTGTTAGGTTAGGTTGTGACATGACATGCTATATAAATATTGAGAAGATTGAGAGTAGATTATAAGTCCTCCATCAGATGACCCATATTGATTCCTTAATTAAGGAGTGTTTGTTTAACATTTAAATGCCTTAATGATGTCAGAATTTAAAGATCTTAGGTTTGTTTGAGTCATCTCATCGAGTTGCTTGTTTTCACTATAAGGATGCCATATTTGGATATCATTTGGTCATCTAATTAATGCCATCAAGCTTTCTAATAAGCTTTAAACCCTTAATTTCAGCCTATGTGGGCTTGGATTTGACCGCTTTTAGTGTCATTGGGTTCATCTCACTAAGACATTCAATTTGACTATAAATTTATTGAAATTATAGTTCAAATGTACCCATATTTAATTTTGAAAGTTTTGCACTTGAATATGTCTCGTGATTCATGCTTGATCAAGTCAATTATTTGTGATTTATCAGTCCCCCTCAATTTCTAGACGTTGAATCTTGTAGGGTCTAAAAATATATGTTTTTGTCCTTTAAACTACTAAGATGATAAAATTATAATAAAAAAATTATGAGATGTGACTACACCTAGGATGTAATGTTGACCTTCCCTCGGGGCTCTGAATCAAGTAAAATGCCATCGATCATAATTTTAACATTCCATGAAGTTGGAATGATGATCTTTTTTTTTTTTTGAAGAATTGCACCACAATTGCATTAAGAAAACAAAAGAAAGCTAATTACACTTGATAAGAATGAAAATAATCACATTCCTCCTTGATCGAATACAATAGCAAGGAAGGAATGTAACCAAAAGAAAAACTATCAAAAAAGAAACTCCTACTAAGAGCCATGGTAGCACATAAGTTGGCCACCTTATTACAACTTCTATGAACATGATTGAAGACCACTTTATGAAAGTCATTGAAAAAAAGAAGCTCCTCCAAAGGCCACATGTCCACAGTCCCCTTATTCTTTTTGAAAGAATCCTGAATGAACTTAATGACATTAAGATTGTCACTCTCTATAATCACCCCTTTGTACTCAAGCTTCCAACTCCTAATGTACTCCCTAACCGAGAAAACAGCCTCCATCTCAAGTTTGGTAATGTCCCAATGGACTTTCTTTTCCCCAAATGCAAAAATAGACATTCCCTTATGATCTCTGAAAATTCCACCAACTCCAGCACAGTTAGATCTAAGCAAAGATGCATCAACATTTATCTTCATCCAGTCTTTCAGAGGGGGGCACCAAGACTCACAAGACTCCCTAAGGAGATTGGTTCCCCAATTTGAAAGATACAGACTATCTTTATTACTATACAAAGCCAAAGCATTAGAAGCTATAACAGAAGAAGGCAATGCATATTTTCCATGTTTCACACAGTTTTTATTCCTCCAAGAAAGATATACAATAGTGCAGTAAATCTTAAAAATACCGAGATTTCGAGTAGACAGCCTTCTTAACTTCTGCAAACAGTTGCTAAGAAACTGAAAAACTGGAATAGAAATGCCCTAATCATGCATCTGTTTCATGACTTCAATAAAAAATTTGCAATGTACCATAATGTGTTCATAGCTTTCATTAGTATTACAGCCTCTAGCACAAGCCAGTTCCACAGCAAGCCTTTGGTAATGTAAAAATACATTTGTGGGGATTGCAGATTTCCCAAGTCACCACCAGAAAATTTCAAATTTCTTGTTTAGTTTGAGCTTATACAGCCATGTATAATAATCCTCTCCATCCATATTGCAATTACTGTTCAACATATACTCATAAGACATAGCCGAGATAGACTTACCCGAGTGCATTCTCAGCAGCTCCCTCCGATCCTCCATCCCAGGGTTGATCTGAATGTTGTTGATCAGCATGATGAATTCAGGATGGAAAACTTCATGAAGCAGTGTATAATTCCACTGACCTTCACTCAATAAAAGTTGCCTGACATTCATCCCTTCCAATACTACACAATCCACCAATGTAGGCCATTTGCTATTGCACTTGTCCAGCACCCAGATATCATTTAAAACGTTGATCTTATTTCCACTGCCAACGGCCCATTTGGTAATGTTCTGCAGTTGTCTTCCCCCATCAAGCAAGATTTTAAATGTATTTGAAGTTACCTTCTTTTGTGATCCAATCATTAAATCATCTCCATACTTGTGTTTGATAGTTTTGTAACAAAGAGACTCAGTTTTCTGGAAAAAATCCCAAGCCAGTTTGGACCTCGAAGAACCAACCCTCATCAAAGGAGATTGAAGTCTCATCCCACCCATACTTCTCGGTTTGCACAGATCTTCCCAAGCCACATAATGCATACTATGCTCTCCACCCGGTTTATGCCATAGAAAATTTCTACAAAGTTTCTCCACCTCATACAACAACTTTTTAGGAAGTAAAGAATGAGTTACTAAAAAGTTTGGCATAGACAACAATGAACTAGAGATAAGAGTAATCTTACCTCCCAAAGATAAAGTCTTCTTGCCCCATGCATTGAGCCTATCCATGACATTGCTCAACAAGTCTTGAAAATCAGCCAACTTCAATCTATTTAGGGACAACTTAATCCCTAGGTAGCTCATCTCCTTCACATTTTTGTAACCAAACAATCTAGTAATCTTTTTCTTAGTTGAGTAGCCAACTACCTTACCAAAAAAAATTTGAAATTTACTGACATTTATCCTTTGGCCCGTCCATTTGCAAAAATCTTCAACTATTTTCTTCAAGGCTTTGGCTAACCAAATGGATACATAAGAGAAGATTAGCACATCATCTGCATAGAGAAGATGTGTAATCCTAGGGCCTCTAGGAGAGACTCTAATACCAAGATCTTGTCCCTTCTGCTCAATAGAATTAGAAACCAACTGGAAGCACATAATGAAGAGATAAGGAGAAAGTGGGCATCCTTGACGAAAGCCACTATGAGCATCAATCCACTCAGAATTTCTCCCATTTATAATGATTGAAAATCTCACACCTACAACACATTCCATGAGAAGTTTAGAAAACAAACAAGGCAATCCATACCATTTAAGGATTTGATCAAGTGCAGGCCATCCCATGCTATCATAAGCCTGTCCATGTCTAGCTTCAGAGCCATCAATCCCTTCTTGTTCTTAGACATTTTAAACTTATGAAATATCTCTTGAGCCAACAAACAATGTTTAGAAATAGACCTTCCCGGCATAAAGGCCATTTCCTCTTCAGTGATCAGCTTGGAAATGCATTTCTTCAATCTGTTAACTAGAACAGTGGCTGCAATTTTATAGTTAGTCTGGCATAAACTAATCGGCCTGTAATTAGAGGGAGTTAAAGGGCTCTTTATTTTAGCAATCAAAACAATTAGAGTATCCTTCCAATTCCTACTCATTTGACTAGAGTTTAGGAAGCTCTTAATAGCTTCCCATAAAGTTTTCTACACAATATCCTAATAACATTTATAAAAAGATGAAGTGACTCCATCCATACCTGGAGATCTATTGTTTCGCTGCTGAAATACCGAAGCCTGTAGTTCAGCCAGAGTGAATTCAGAACACAGATCAGCAGCATCTCTCTGGCTCAATTTCTAGTTTTCCAAAACCACCGACCAACCTGTTAACTCACAGGTGCTAGATTGCCATTTAGCTTCAAAGAACTGAATAAAAACCTTCTCAATTTCATCATCTTCCTCCTGAGTGTTATTATGCACATCTTTAATTTGAACCACCCTATTCCCATTTCTTCTAGCCGTGGCAAAGTTGTGGAACACTTTTGAATTGATGTCTCCATCTTCATGCCATCTAGCCTTTGCCCTTTGATTCCACCATGTAGCTAGCCGATTAAAAGTAACATTAAGCTCATGCACTTTACTTCTAAGCAAAAGAAGGTCCTCATGAGTCCAATCTATACCCATAGCTTCTTTATTTTGGAGTTCAAGAATATCCTTTTTCAGCTCTTCCTTGAGAATCCTCACTTACTTTTGCTCCGAAAGAACAATGCTTTCAACGTTCTACTAGTTTTCCTTTGTAGTATATCACTATGATCACCAAAATCATTCTTCTTCCAAGAATGATATACAATGCTTCTAGCCGCTGGGTAGGACCTCCATGTATCCTCAAATTTGATATTCTTCATCTTGGATTGTTTCCTCTCATCCAATTTAAAGGCAATTGGACTATGATCCAATGCCACTCTTGTTAGGTGCCTAGTAAGAGCTGAAGGAATTCTCTGGAGAGCAAGCGAATTCACCAAGCACCTATCCAATCTTTCCCATATCCGAGAGGCTCCTTCTTTGTTGTTGCACCAAGTGTACCTTGGTCCAATACTCCTTATATCATGAAAATCTGAATTTGTCATAAACTGTTTCATATCCCTCGGTCCTTTAGAAAATAAGAACCTCTTACCTCCTCTCTTCTCCTCCTTGATCAAAATGCAGTTAAAATCTCCACCAATGATAGAGGGATTAGGCTCCTTCAATCCCTCTTCAAGCTGCCTCCAAAGATCCTCCCTTTCTTTGCAACATCGACTTCCATACACCGTGGCAATCTTCCATAAGCCCATGCTTGGAATCAAAAGATCCCCCATGATCACTTGAGCAGAAGTATCCATGAATACAAACGACACACTTCTCTTATCCCATAACACTAGCATTCCCCCTGACAGACCAGCAGCTAGAACATGATAGAATTCCCAATCATTCCCAATGAGATAATCAACCTCCCTCCTACCAATACAAGTCATCTTAGTCTCCAAAAGACCAATAAAACAAACATATTGCTCTCTAACCATCTCCTTCAGATACAAGGAGGCCTCCGTGTTCATCCCCACACATGGACCTCACCCTTCCATCCCTTCTCTTTTTCTTTTGCCCTGTTTTAAGAGGTCCCAAAAATCTTAATTCTTTGGAAAGTTTAGACTTATTGCTCCCATATTGAGACCCCACACCAACATTCATTAAATCTGAATCATTCAATTTCACTCCATTATCTCCAGCCCCATTAATCTCCTCAATACAGTGAGTAACCAAGTCCTTAGACTTATCCACCTCCTCATTGTTATTTACGGGTTCTTATCCAGAATCATTCAGCAGAACATCAAATCTATTGCTAACAACAAACGACTGTTTTTCTTTTACAGTTTTCTACTGCCCTTCAACAGCCTTCTTCTGATCTGGCATTTCAACATACAGCAATCCCGGAGTACTTACATTATCCACATTCTTCATCTAAGCTAGGATTACTTTCTGCACAAAGCTAGTCCCCTTATTATCCATCCAGTTATTTTGTCGTTCATTCATATTTCTTCCACCACCATTCGCCTTAACAAAGCGTTTGGTTTTGAATTGTACATGTATCCACGGTCCGTATTCTGACTTGATCACACAGGGATTGGCTTCAGGAATACTTTTACTGGATTCATCTGCAACAGATTTGATAATGGCCTGATATGTAATCCTCTGAACAACCTCCTCAGGGCATTCAGTCTTATTATGACCTACACGACCACAATGATAACAGAACTGATCCACCTTCTCATACTCCACACGTTGAAAAAATCTGCAAGCTGATCCTTCTACCCAAACAACATTCGGTAGCTTCTGTTGACACACAAGAGCAAGTGCAAATCTTCTGAAATTGTTAGGAGATAACTATACATTTGAACAATAATGTTTGGAATCATCAAAACTACATAAGTTGCATAAATATAACTCATTCAAATAGCAACTATTCAAACAGCTTCTTCTCCAGATCAATTTTGACACATACACGAGCGAACTCCCGCTTCCCCCATCGAAAGGTATTCCCATCTATGTACATTAGCGTCCCAAATCGATATGCTATTCTTGCTATGTTGTCTTCATCCCAGTAGTAAAGCGGTAAACAGGGGAATCTGATCCAAATGGGTGCGGAGACCCCCTTGAAAGAGTAAGGATCAAATGCTGCAGTCCATCGATCCATTCCGACAATGTGGCCACCAACAAACCACGATCCACCATTGAGAATTTCCTCCACTGCCTCCTCCGTCCTGAACGAACAGAGGATCAAATCCATGCCAATTGAAGTTAAATGGAATCCGCCATACTTGCTCCATTGTTTCCTCAATTCCAAACTACACACAGGGAATGACACATTGTTACCCAAAACTTTAATCACCACAGAATGTCTCAGGACATGCTTATTTTTCTCCTCCATTTACGAGTTTAGCTTAACAGCGACCCCGTCTTCTGATAATTCAACTTTCTCTCTATTCAAGTTGATCTTGATGTGCTTCGGCTTTGTCCAGGCATTAACAACCTCATTTACACTTTCTTGTTTATCGGCTTTGTCCATCACCATTCCGTCAATAGTCGAACCCATTCCAGAATTTTTAACAGAATCAAGAGCAATATCCCGTTCTTGACCATTCCCAATCTTCAGAATATAATCCCCACACCGATCCTCATTTATTCCAGAAATTTCAAAAGATTTAAAAATCTTCAAGAATTCATCACCCGATTTCATAGGATCAAGATTCAGTGTACCTGGCACCACAAGCTCCCCATTCCTCATAATCGATCCATCTTCCACAATCGCCTTCTTTCCCTTGCCTTCAACCACAGGTAGACGAGACAGAGGTCTCATCCCTTCTCTGATTACCACCCCATTACATCCTCTACCACCAGTTCGTAACGAAGCTGGAGGTCGCAAAGCAGCCATGTCATCAGCAGAGAGCGCCGATGATCATCCGGCGGCCGCGCCACCTGATGTGAAAAATCCAAGTTGGTATGATGATCAAAGTTGAAAATATTAAAAAAATTTACTGCAAAATTTTTAAATTGACTTGAAACTAAATATAAAGGCTCCATTGGACTTTAAAATTTTCAAGACTTAGTCTAAAATGTTAAAAAATGATCTTAGAAACCTCAAAATGTTTGAATCTAACTGTCCGAGAGTGACCTGACAACCAAAATAGCTAGCCGACAGGCTCCCAAGCATGCATGGCCCACACACATGGGGAGTGCATATAGCACCCCTTATGATATATATATATTTTTTCTTTAATTAAATTAATTCCTTTTAAAATTTGTCCAAAAATAGTTAAAGATTAAATTTTTTTTAGAATTTTCTAGAATGGAAATAATTAAATTAATGCATATTTAATTATTTTTAATAAAATATTTTAGTTTTTTTTTTATTTTAAAAGGGAAAATATGATTTTTTTTCTTTTAAAAATTCAAAAGAAATACGGAAAAACCCAAAAAATTTAAAAACATATTTCAAACTTACCCCCTTATTGATCTACAAATACCCCCCTTGGGGGTGGGGAAAAAGGTTTCGTTTAAGCTCGTCAAAAAGTGTCTTCCCTAATTTGAGAAAAAAATAGACTAGCAAAAATTTGGAGATTGTCGACACCAAAAAAGGCTTGGTCCTCTAACGTAATCTCCAATTTTCCTCTATTTGTCATATTGATAAGCTAAGTAATCTTAGATGTTAAACATGTACTATTTAAACCATGAAAATGATGTCATATTCCCTTACAAAGTTGTATGCTTTAGATTCTTTTATTAAGTACTTGTATTCTCAAGGTTTTTTTCTTCTCTTCACATGCCAAATTCTCTTATGTTTTCATTGCAACTAATTGTATGATTATAATAATCAATATTTTTAAATTATTAACATTAATTATATTATTAAATATTTAATTAAAAGTTGATACATCTTAAATTCAATAAAAGAATTTAATAGATAAAATTCAATTAGATTTAAAAAATAAGCCTTTCTCATTACAAGTTTTCGATTTACATATGTTGTGGCATACAACCTAAGCACAAAAATTCTATAGAATGTAGAGTTTGCTTATTTTTTGGTGAAGAGTTGCAAATTTTGGACGACTCCATACTAACTTACACTAGTGGAAGGAATTGTCTGATTGAAATAAACAATATTTTAACACTAGAAGAACTAAAGCTTAGAATTGTTTGAGCATTATGCCTCAACCATTCCACCCATATAGTTAACCTTGTATATTGGTTGCAAAATAATAGTGGATATACAAGAATAAATGTTATCAATGATAAGATTTGTGAGTTTACTATAATTGAAGTGACGTGGTGGACTATAGTTATTTATGTCGAATATGAAGAGATACCAACCTTCAACACAAACAAGATGTATTTTGCTAAAATCAATTTTCCTATAGTGAGGCTAACTTCACTATGTCCTCATTACATCAGCATTCAAAGTTTAGAGTAAAGAATCCCTAACGTTTGTCCAGATATGCATGCAACCTTTAAAAATTCATTTGCCCCCGCTTTTAACTCTAGTGGCCTTTTTTCATTTTTTGAGAAGCTGCAATTGCAATAAGATAAAAAAGCTATTACAATCTACTCAGTGATAGAAATCCCATCACTTCCTCCTTAACCAAAGATAAAAAAGGAGGAACATTATTTAAACTTTCCCATAAAAAATCACCCTCTAATGCTAATTTAGCACAAAGATGTGCTAACTTTTTACAATCACTATTAGCAAATTGAATTTAAAAACTCCCTAAATCATTTAGAAAAGAAAAGTCTTCATATATTACCTCTTTATTTGAGGAGCCCAAATTACCAACTGCTTTGTTGAGATAATTGATAACATTCCAATTATCACCTTCTATGACAATGCCTTTAAAATCCAACATCCATTCCTTGATCATAATCTTTAAATGCTGAAAAGCCAATAATTTCAAGAAACCACTATCCCAATGCAAACATTTCTATCCAAAGGCCAATAGCATTCTTCCTCTATCGTCTCTAATAACACCACCGAGCCCATCATTATATTAATGAGTTAAAGTTGCATCTATATTTACTTTGATCCATCCGGTTGGAGGGGGATGCCAAAATGAATTCAGCTTAACAAGTTGGTTAGCATTCCAATGATCTGAATATAG